GAAGGCTTGTGGCTGGAGGCTACAAAGAGAAGCTAGCGCAACACTTTGTCTGCACTGCCTCTCTCTCTCCGGTGGCAGGTCGTTTCATTGAACAACAGTACTGCAGCTGATACAGTACAGGCTTCTCTGACAGCTCTATTCAATAAAGTGCAGGATGAAGTAACTGTTATTTATTTCTTTGTGTGTTTGTGTAAGAGCTTATGTGTGTATGTGTGCCAATTTGTATGAGAGGATTGTTTGTGTACACTTGTGCTGTTGGTGGCAGCGTACAGTATGTGGATGCACAAAGTGGTTTGGCAGTGTGTGAGTGCTTGTTTGTTTGTGTGATAATAAAAAAAACAAGTATAAAATTTAAAAAAGATTGCTTTCATTTTCAACTTTCAGACGCTACGGCAGTGTAGGGTAACAGTCCTCTCTACGATGGAGCCAAGGCCATACATTGGAGACGAGGCCATAGTTTCCAAAGAAGGGAGCTGCTGTTCTTTCCCCTGCAGAGTCAGAGCTGAACACGCTACACTGATTTTTCACCAAAGTGCAGCAAAACCTTGACCTTTGACCCCAAATGTGCTGACCTCTACAATGAGCATCCAGTGGGATTCAGGCCAATTTTAATGTAGAGAAAAACTGTGGAAAATATCATTTTGTACGTCTCTATATTCCCATTCACAATCCTACTGGGACTTTGCAGAAAATATTAGAGAAAACAAGGATACCAAGTTAGAAAATTGTTTACATTATGATGTGGTATGCCGTTTTGTGCTGCTCTTTATGTTGCACACTGCCACGAGCATTTCCCATTGTACATTTGGTCTGAAACTGCCTTAATGCTGCAGCAAACAGGACCACTTCTCACTCTAAGTCAAGCGACTATGATGTCTTGATGGAAGTGTGCAGTTTGAGTGTGTATGATAATAATGCTAATAATGATGATAATAATGAGTGAGATTTAAATGAAACTTTTTGGTGTACTGAAAAATGGTTACCAAAAAAGAGCATTTGATTTATATAGGTGAAACTTTTATCACGTATTTCTGGACCTGTATGTGTCTTGGTAATTCAAAATGACATATTTTCATATTCATAAATATTTGTACTAAATACTAATGTTTCATTCATACAAATTTTTGGAAACCATGGTAATCCCTTAGGTGCTCCGTTCCCTCAATGTGATAGAGTCTGTATGTCAACCCAGCCCAGTATTCCTAGAAATGACTTCTATGTGGAATAATCAGGGCACCCCATGATGTAAATCCACTGCCAATACAGGTCGTTTTTGTATTCTTGTCCATTTGAATGCTTTATTAGATAGCGACAGCAGAGAGATGACAGAAAATGAGAGGAGAGCGAGATGGTGAATGACATGCAACAAAGGTCGACCAGGTGTCCTTAGGACATCAGGGCACCTCCAATGCGGAAAGTAGTGTGTCCTTTAAGTAGTGAGGTGCAAAGTAAGGGTGTAAAGGACAGAATGGTGAATAATTGTAGTGCATTGTCATTTATACAAGAGCCTTTACAATCTGTACAGGATACAAAACCCTCTATTCTTAGACCTTCAGTTTGAATAAGGAAAACAAACCAGGGAAAAAAGATGGAAGTTGGCATCCTATTACAGAGCTGTACTTAACCTTTTTTTTATTAATCACAACAACAATCTTTCACAAGTGTTTTAGTTGGCTGACCCTAACCGTACCTTAATAATACATTATTTACAGTAACTGCACCCTTTGCCCAACCTTAACCTTAGCGTAGTTGCCATGCCAGCTAATGTAGAAAGCAAAATGTAAAAACGTCATTAACCATAATATGAGATTTTGCTCTGATCTTGTTATAAGTGCTATCTTAGATGTATTTAAAAAAACATATCTGCATTACTTTTATAAACTGTGAACTTGACAAAACATTTGTATTTCAGTTCAGAGTGGGTGTAGCATGAGAGTCCCTCTACTGTAAGGGATGTAGACATGTATGTGTGTGAATCACATCAATACTTGCGATGGCGAGCTGCAGGAAAAGGACATAAAGAAGAGTTATGGCTCTATCTCCTGTGTTTCTGTCTCTGAGGAAGCAGCTACGTAAGAGAGACCTTTTAGTGCTGACACATGCCTGAGTGCCTTTAAGGTTGAGGGGGGGGAAGATGTTATGTTTCTGACGTATGACTGCTAGTACAAACACTCCTGAGCAAATGATGGCAGAGATAATGATGGCTGCTGTAGCTGCTCAATCCCCACATGCTAGTCTGAAACTCAGTTTGTGCAGCCATGGGTGTAGCTGTGGGTAAAATACACATGATGTTCCTCTTGCAATGCCACGCACGGGCTGTCGTCTATGAGCCCCTCAGGGGTCGATTCATATTTGCACCATTTACGTGTGATTGATTTGCTACTCAGGGTACGCCTACAGCAGTCTGAGCTCGTCTCTGCATTGCCCAGAGAGCTGTTAGTTTTATGAATAGATCTGATATGCATTTGTCAATAATGTGAATCTGAACATTTCCACTGCAATGGCCCAGTGACAGGTGAAAGGAATGTGTTTGTCTGCACTATGTATGTGTCTATGTGTGTGTTCTCAGGCTGTCCTTCAAAACATAAGAAAGTGTAAATCAGGTGTTTGAAAATTTGTTAAAATGTAAATACATACATTAAATACTGAACAGTAAGTGTATTGTAAAATTGTTCTTTAGTATTAAAACATAGGTTTGTGTGTATCTGGCATGGGCGAAAAACATTCAGAGTTAATTAGATCAACATTTGCCTCTACAGTACTGTACACCACAGTAAAGAACTGTAAATAACAAAGCATCATTATAAAATATTAATATCTGTCACATCCCATTAACAGCTACAGTATGTTGACGTGAAATTGTGAGTCTAATTTTTTCTGTCGGTCTGTTATTTTGCATAGTTAATATTATTCCACTTCCATTACAGTTTTTTGCACTTCTTCTACTTCACAGTATCAGCACCACATGCACAAGACATCAGAATGGTTTAGTATAACTCTTGGCAGCAAAGGTTTTTCCAATTTCTTGTACTCATGAAAATAATGTGAAAGAGTTGGAAGGAATAATGTTCAAACCTACTCCTTTTTTAAGCCCTGTATTACTTTAAGTTTAAATCAACTTCTATTTGATCTTCTATTTAAAAGAACCACCGCCCCATGTTTGGAAATAATAAATGACAAATATTCTACTTTAATTCAAGAATGAAAGAAAAGCATAACAACATAACATTTTGACCTTGTTCTGAGTGTTCTGAGGTTGACCTTACTTGTATTTTGCAGAAATAATGAAACTGACACTCCAGGACCATTCATTTCATTGTGAGGCAGACAAGCAAAAAAGAACAAAACAAACCGAGTGTCTTTGATCTGCTGAAACATTCAAATATATGTTCTGCCCCAGCTCATACTTATTATGTGTATACAGTTTAGTTTGAGTGCCAAACTTGGTTAACTTTTGAGTTTCTAATGGGCAGTAATAATACCAGTGGGAATAGAGGAGCAACTCAAAGCTGGGGAAATAAGACATATTGAGTATAAGAACAAAAATGGCCCAAGCAATTACTTAGCAACATCCAAGCATCATAGCAACCGGGGAATAAATTCACATTCTAGCAACCAACCAAAATTATATAAAGATATAATATTTGCACATAAACTTTAATTGACCTCCATCTATTGAAAATTGAAGATATATCCTGGTATATGTTCATTCTTTCTTTCTTTCTTTCTTTCTCTTGAAGCCTACAGCACTGTAAAAAAAAATCCAGTATTGCAACTTCATGACTAAAGTTCCTTTCTTTACTTTTCTCCTCTTCCTCTTTATCCCCTTTCCCTTTTTGGTTTCTTTTTCCTTTGCTTCTTCTTATGTTTTTTCCAACCGTCTTTTTTCCATTGTCTTGATAAATGTTACATCGAGCATAAATGTTTTAGTGCCACATGCAATTTTGATGGGGACGCCACCATTCTCGTGTCTTTTTAGGATACAGTATGTAGGCCTAATTGTGCCATGCGCAGTTATGCCTCTCTTCCCTCTTAAATACAAAGGGGTAAAGAGGAGGATAGAGAGAGAGAGAGAGAGGTGAATATGTTAGAGGTTGGAGTGACTTGGGTGTGTGTGTACTGCCTATAACTGCACTAAGATTGTACAGTACTGCACTGTCCTGTTGTAGCCTCCTGCATGTTTGCGCACGTACATGTGTGTTTGAACCCAGCTTTAATAAAAAAAACAGGTAATCTGCTGTAAACTTGCTCATCTGTGAAAGTGATTCGGGCTTTACCTGCCTGTCCTCTGCATGTCTAATGCCTCCTTTAACATCACGTCTGCCTTGTTGATTAGTCAGCGATGCCTGTTTGTCATATAGCCGCCAGTCACGGTCTGAGTGGAAAACAATCCGTGATAAACAAAATAAAATATGCATATGATACGTTTGACAACATTTGACTGCTTGACGTTGTCGCTGGATGAACCCAGGAAACAGCAACATCCTTATCGTCTGTCACCATATTCTCCTCTTTGATTCTTACCTTTTTTTTTCATCTTTATCTTGGCTTTTTTTTTTTTATTTTTGAAAACACAACGCGCTGTGAAATGTGGAGGTATCTAACACAGTAGAATTCAGCGGATCACACAATGCACATGGATGATAAAACTGGGAAGATAAAAGATTTCTTTGCTATTGTTTTTACCATGCATACACACACCATGTATCCCCTAAACCTGAACTTAAAACTTAATAGCACAACTTTAACCAAAACCTAAATCCATTCCTTAAATTTCATTCTAATCCTAAATTCAAATACCGACCCCTAAAATAAAGAAACAAAGTAAACCATCTACAAACAATCCACAATTCTGAGTCCCTGCCAGGGCATCTGGTCCTCACTAATGTCTAAGCAAACACACGCACAAACACTTGCACGCATGCACACACACAGGTGTCGCTTTCCAGTGCGATGAATCTGCAGATGCAGCCTCACCGCATTTGGCGTGCAGCGGCTGACGTCAGGAGGAGAGCGGAGTGAGAGGAGTTGAAATAGGGCAGAGCAGGAGCGGAGCGCTGAGAGGAAACCAGCCGGAGGAGCCGGAGGATGGCAAACCGCCGCTGAGAGTTGGGACGCGCTTACCCGTCGCTACTCACTAACGCATCTGCTGCTGATACACCAGCCCCTAATTAATCTGAACCATTTAAGCCCTGCCGAGCTGGGGGAAAGGAGTGGAACTAAAAAAAAAAAAAAAAGAGCGCAGTTTGGACGCGTCGCTGCAAAGGAAATCTGTGGCATAATTTGCTCGCATTTCCTATCTTTCAGTCCTCTTTGCCTCGGAATACCACAGGTAAGGTGGAAGCTGTATTTACTAATGCGGGATAAGGGCTCCGAGGTTGCTTAAAGGCGCATTTATTGTTTTCTTTGCAAGTTTTGGTTGTTTTGGTTGCATGACGCTGCTTTAACCGTCACTATTTGCATTGGCAGTGTGAGTGAATGGAAACTGTGAAGAGGGTGGCAGTGGCGTGCTTCAATTTTAAATTAGTTTGTGAGTAGCTGAGGAGAAATACATCAGTGATAGAGGGAGAGCTCCCGAATTTACAGCCAGGATATAGATAGGATATGTGTGAGGTGCAGCCCTTATAGCGCAGGGCGATGTCAATGGCAATCTGTGACAGTGTTTAACTACACTGCCTGGTATGTCGCCTATTGTCTGGCGCAACACTGGTTGAGATTAATCATCCAATATGACCAGATGCCAGTTTTAGTAACCCCATATAACCGTGCAGCGGCTCTACCTGCTTGAAAACAACAGGGCAGTGTTTGATAAATGGCTTCAGCAGGACTCCTCTGCCCGGATGCGCCAGCTTTGCTCAGGCAGCAGAGGGACTGGAATGATAACATAGTGAGACACGCACATTCCTTGCTGGGCTCTCTGGCATGGATTCCCGGTCCCAACACCCCGCCGCCTCCACCACCTCCCTCCTCACCCGGTCCTCCTCCCGTCAGCCAATTCATTTGGCGTGACGCTGGGAAGACTTCATCTTATAACGGACAGTGTCTCATAAAGCACATCCACTCCTCTCATCTACTCACCAGCATGCAAAAAGTCTCAAGAACGGGGCGGGGTGGGGGGGTGGGAATTCCTAAACAAGACGAGATTTTCTTGTCTGATTGTGTTAAATGAGCTGCTTCAGCGCTCTCTCATGGGAAAATCCTATCAGTGTCACCAGAGAGCTGGCACAGCGGCTGCAAAGCCTCCGTGACGGCCAGCGGAGTGAGAAATGAGGATTGGTCGGCGCGCACGCTGCCGTTATATAGCGTATATTGCACCGGAGCTCTCCAAGGTGCTGAAAACGCTCCAGCCAGCCTCTTGCTCCACTCCATGCCTTCCCCTTGCGCTCCAGCCTCTTTCTGAGGTTTGCTGAATTTCCTCTCTCTACCTGGAGCCAGACATGGAGCCAACATCCAGCAACAGAATTATGGTCATCCATCACTGTGCTATCTGTGAAAAACTGGTTGTAAATCCTAGTCCTTCAGCTTTATGCGGGCCAACAGCCCTTCCAACTCTCAACTCAGGCACGTAGTCTCACACACACACACACACACACACACACACACACACACACACACATACAGCTGGCGCACATGCAAGCACATGCAGAGACTTGGATCAATATGCTCCCCTCGCTCCTGAATGAGAATATTAATGGAAGCGGTTCTCAGCTGGATCTATTTGCACCGGGGGACTCAGGTCTGAACTGGTAATTTACAGTAACACACAACCTTTAGACATTAGGCAAGCATTCTTTGCTGGGGGAAACAACTATGCAAGCACGTAGATGCCAAAAGTGACAAGTGTTCTGGCTGAAAAAGTTAAATGGATTCAACAGTTGGATTTATTGTGTTTTTCATAGCCGACTCAGTAAAGCTGCGAGAGAAAATAATAGCATTTAGAAAGGTCAGAGAATAGTGGTGAAGCCACTACTAGCTGCCACTGCTGATATTACTTGACTGCAAATTAAATACAGTTAAACAAAGGATAGGATCATTACATTAGAAGTCAGTTTTCAGGTTCTTCTAAATTACTCCTGCAGGTTTTTGGGGGCCCACATCATGTCCTGAACCCTGTCAGAGCAGTTCCGCAGCCCACCCTCGGGTCAAAGTCAACGGGTTGAGAAATAATGATGAAGCCCAGAATAGTGACTCAGTCGGGCTTATTGCGGTTTGCAATCTGGAGTGTAACTTATTAGCTGTCTCACAGAGAGCCATTACAGCGCAGTGTCCAGCAGATTATGGCTGCTTGTTGTGCTTCAGAGACAGCCTAATAGTGGGATGACTCACACACTTACAGACTGACACTGAAGACACACTTGCATATACTGTGGGCACACTGGTGTATGCACGCCCACAAAAATCCTCACTGTAACATCCCAGTCATTAGAGTTGGCTTCTGGAGTGCTCTCTCCCCGCTAAGCACTTAAACCCTGCAAAAGCCAGAACCAGCTTGAAGCAGCGTATGTGCATAAATGCATGTGTGCAGTATGTCATGCATTTTAGTTGGATAAAGCAAATAAAATCAAGGATGGCAATAAAGCTCTAATCTTCTGTTGTGTAACCAGGCTGAGGAAGAGTTTTCACACGCTTTAACAGGTCTTGCATGATAGGCTATTCTTATTGTAGACTGGATTTAGACGTATCAACATAAGCATGTAATTTACTTTTGAGTGACACTGGTAATATATAAGTTGCAGTCAGATTTCCCAGTATCTAGTTTACAATGTTGATGCCTGATACAGATACATGGCACAGTCTGTACATTAATTAAACAAAACAAAGAGTGCTAAAAAATAACATACAACAAACATGCACATACAATGTAACCATACCTCCCAGCTTGAAATCAGTTTAATAATATAAGGAATGTGACACTTAATTGATCCTTAGAAGAAAAATTATCTTTGCCCAGCTTCTGAAAGGTCAGAGTTCAGACTGAGTTGATGGAACAGCATACACGAGTTCAGTGTCTTGCTCCAGGACATTTCAGCTGAGTGAGTGCTTGCTTGCTGACAGGAGAGGCTGGTAAAAGCACAGTCTCACTACCCACTTGACTTCCCTGCTGCTCAAAGATGCTAAACACTAAAAAAGAGCGATGCCTGACCACTGGAGATGGATGAAAATAAAAATTCACTGCCTACTTTCCTTCTTTAATACAAAACCAGAGGAAGTACCACACAGTATGTCGCTATCACAGATATCCCACATGCTACTGCTTTCTTACTGCACCACCAAACAAAAAGGACTACTTTAAAGTGGTGTGTATTTCAAAGATTTTTCATAAAGTTTGCAAACAAAGGTCCAGCGGGTAGATGAAAGATTAATGTTGTGTTTTTTTAGGTCTATTATAGAGGAAATAGGTTGCAGGACAGAGAAGAATTTTGATAGTCACTTCATAGCAAGTAGTTGCTGGGAAACAGTTTCTTGTGCCAGTTTTGCGGGCCAGATGTCAAACTGAAAAGTGCTTGTTACAGAAAATCAATTAAGGATAGAACATGGCTCACATACATCATCATTACTGTGGTAGATATTTGGAGTTTGAGCTGGAGTATTCACATGACCAGAGTAGGCAGGACCCATTCCTTTTTTATAAATTCAACATAGACACTGCAGACTCTAAACAAAACACACATAAAGAACCCTAGTTGACAATTCCATGTAACACTTAAGTAGAATAAATTAAATTTTTCATATCAATTATAATGCTCCACTCGTGAATAGTTTAAATACTTGGCATCACATTGCCTGAACCCCATGCAAAGCTTGTCTAATCAGAAGCAGGATTTATTTTCACACAACAAAGCTATCCCCTCGGGTAAACCAAACCCACTTCCTTCCCTTCTTTTTTCTTACGCCTGGTGACTTTGATTTGTTTGGCTTTGCAAATTTTCCAAAGAAATATAATGAGCCATAAACAAAACAAAGGTAAAAATGCATTACAGATGGTGAGTCACACTCTTATGTCCTGGCTCTTTTGCCATACACTCACACTCTGAAGAAGATTAGTTTTAAATTGAAATGATGAAACTCTTTCTCATGGGTTTAGCGAGGTCACACTGGCACTCACACACACACTCCCAGAGACACCCAGAGAAATAGAACATGATTAACGTAAGGCCTGTCACAATGGGAGACACAGTATGAATGGCAGTGAAACTAAGGATGACCAGTAACTTGCACCATTAGATTATGTACCCTTTTTATTCCAGAGACATATTACTGTGCCCGTCGGCTCACCTGACAAGTCCTCTGTGCTTCCTGTAGAGTGCAGGGCCACAAAATGTGGGCAACGCGGTTCGCTTGAAATTCCGATCACTAACGTTGAACTTCTAGAAATGACCTTTACCGCTGTATCCCATATGAACACAGCAGCTGAGCTAAAGCGTCAGCAGCGCAGCTCTGAGCAAATAGTGCTCGCTGCCTCCTCTGCCTGAATGGAGGGAACTGACGAAAGAGTCAGCAGAGAGGGAGAAATGTGAAAAGGGGTTACCGAAAGGTCGTCTGGCATATCTGTTTTCTGCAGTGAATTTAGTCAGCCATCTGCCTGTCCCTTTCATTCCTCACTCCACTGCTTAAAACTGCCAAATGGTAGTTCTTTTGCTTAGAGCTGTTTTGTCATATTATTTCTGGAAAGGTGGTGTGATTCAAACTGGTCTTGAAATGTTACTTCATCCACTGAAACCCACCCATAAATCTTTGTCTAATTTCTCCTGTTCACTGAAAATATTTAGCTTGTCAAGTGTCATTAGTCATTAGTGCATCAGCTTCCTTTGTGATGAAAATGGTTTGTTGCTAAGGCAAAAGGAGAAGATATGAGAGGCATTGAATCTAGATGAATTAACAACATTAAATTGAAAACTAATTAATTTGATGCTGCTCTGATGTAAACTTTAAAAGCTGATTGTTTTGTTATATATAAGAATGAACTTCCATGCTCATGCTTCAAGTCATTAACTTGATATTTAAGCAATATCTAACAAAGTTCTACAAAACTCTATCTTGTTTCCAAAAATCTTATTATGATCACATGACTATTATCTTTATTTAAAATCTAGTATATAAGTATAGTTTTTGAATCAAACTTTAAAAGTTTCCTTTGGGTTTAATCATTTGTATTTACCCCTTTCAAACATCTTTACTAATATTTTAAACTATAACATCACATTTCTATAACAAACAAATAAAACTATAACATCACATTTCTGAATTAATGTGCAGATTTGGAGCTGCAGTAGGACAAACATGGCAACCACTAGGGCTGAGCGCAACAGCCTGTCAACGAAGAAAACGTGG